TATTATTTGAATTGGGGGTAGGAAGTAAATAGCCAGGTGGTCGGCTGTATTATATAATCCATATAACTGGAAGTCGTAAACTTTTACGGCTGACTGTAGAGTATACTGTAGTCCAGTCAATAGCAGGTGTGTGTTTGTGTGTGTGTGTGTGGCTGGCTTAGTATATTCCTCCCTCTCTCCCGGCGTAACAGAGTCTCCACAAGCGTTACTGTAGCAATGCGTTTATCGCGGTTGTCATCTGAGAGGGGGAGGGGGGTTGATATGGAGGGCAGGGCCGGAGGGAGTGAAGGTAAAGGGCGGGGAGAGAGCGGCTCAAGGTAGGTAAAGCCACATGAGGAGCTGTGGATAGGGGCAGCGAGGGGAGGGAGGGAGGGGTAGTGGTGGTGAGGGGACCCGGGGACACTTCTCACGACCCAAGTGTTTCCTGACGAGGCAAAAAACTCTCCTACTATTACAAGGCAGGACACAGCTACCCTGCCTGCTGGTGCTACTGCTGGCGGTGATGGTGATTATTGTTGGTGGTGGTGGTGATTGCTCTTACTACTGCTGTTGTCATGGTGATGCGGCGAACGAAAAAAATCACACACACACGATCTCTCTCTCACTCGTTAGTTACTGACCCGTTTACACCTGCCTCTTTACCTACCTGTATGTCATGATGACTCGTCACCATCATACACATATATCTTAAGTACATCATCATCATCATCATCATCATCATCATCATCATCACAACCACCACCATCATCACCACCACCACCACCACCACCACCATCATCACGCATAACTAAATATATACCTGCTGTTTAAACCGACACCTGATGCGCCCTATACACTGCCCTACATATAGTACTTACCTTGTCCTAATTTGATCACGGACATGTACCCTACTGCGCTAGTTCTATCACGGTCACGTACCCTGCTTCGCTAGTTCTATCACGGACATATAGCCCAGACTAAACATATCTCCGTGACTCGGTCTGTGTCCTGCATACTGGTCTCATGTGTCTCGTCTCTTGGGGTGTTGCCAGTCATCGGTATTTGCTCTGGCTGTAGAGGATAGTTTTTGAGTGAGTAGCTGTGATGTGGTGATGAGTGTGTGACTGTGGTGATTGATGTGGTGATGAGTGTGTGACTGTGGTGATTGATGTGGTGATGAGTGTGTGACTGCGGTGATTGATGTGGTGATGAGTGTGTGACTGTGGTGATTGATGTGGTGATGAGTGTGTGACTGTGGTGATGAGTGTGTGACTGTGGTGATGGGTGTGTGACTGTGATGTGGTGATGAGTGTGTGTGTGTGTGATGGTAGGTGGTGTGAGGTATTAGTGCTCTATATTGCTCATAATTACACGTTATTGGTCACACCTGATGGTAACCCAGAGACAGCAGTATCACCCTTGTTACGTGGAGGTCACCTGTCTTGTCAACTTTATCGTGTTGTTTTTCTATAAGTGTACAGTGTATATAATTCCTCTAGTACTGTTAGTTTTTATATCATGTTTATTGGTAAGTTATCCCGTTGAGGCACAGTGCCCGCCCTTCCTGACCTCACTGATAATGTGGTGCTCCTAATTTTTTTTTTCACAAATGGGCTAGTGAACAGTTCTTGTTCATCCTTGATTTTGCACTTCTCCAAAACGCTAGTAATTAGTGAGAGGCCTCTATCATGGGTGACTGTGGCACCTGCTGATGGTGGGTCAGTGTCACCACAGTTGTAATGGTCACGTGCTGGTGAAACATCCACCAGTGTTACCTGTAAAGTATCCTTTATGATAACCAAACAAGTCTTACACCTCTTATGTTATCTATATTTATACGTGTAGTAATGTTTTCCAACAATCTTTGAAGACACGAATCTAAATCATCACCCATACTGTATACTATTCTGTGTACTGCAGTATTAGCTTGCGTAAGCTCTCTGTCATCTGGCCCAAGTAAAGGTGTACTGGGCAGTGCACGACTGTACTGTACTTGTGTACCGGGAATGTGAGGGTCAATGAAAGGTGCTTGTCCCAGGCTGGACTAACAAGGGTCCCCCGGGGAGACGTCAGAGTGAGCGCCGCAGCACCTTGTCTATCACACCTGTAGGTCCACTCACCTGTGTGACGCAATGAGGCACCTGGGCCAGTGTCTTTTGGCTGTGTGATGTGTTGTGAGGCGGTTGGGTGTAGTAGTAGTATAGTGGTGGGTGTAGAGGTGTAGTAGTTGCCGGAGTAATAGTGAGGGCGGCAGTAGAGCGGGATGTAACCAGGGGATTAATAGGTGTGGTGGCGAGGCCGGGGTAAAAACTTGTCCCAGCCAATATGCGCCAGGCCCTCCCTCCCCATCTCCCTCTCTTGTGCTTGTTCCTCTCCCTCCCTCCCTGCTGATCTTCTCCTGTCTCACCTTTCCATATTCCTCTTTTCCCACGCAGTTTTCATTTAATCACTACTGTACTGATTCATTGTCGTTATAAAGTCATTATCTCGATAGGAATATGACCAGACAGCTCGGTGTTGTTGACGTCATTGTAGAAAGTTGCAGGCGTCTGGCGGCCGACTGTCCCTTCCTCCCTGTGTTTACTCTCCTTGGCTGGGTGTCACTACCTCAACGGGGACATAAATATTCTTCCCCGTTATGGTGGACGGCATTGTGTATTACTGAAAATTGGAGACATAGGCGTCTACTGGCCCCTGTTGCTTCTCATCCTCCTCCAGTTTAACCTATAGATGTGTGTGTGTGTGTGGACCGTCCTGTTTGTGACCGCCTTTACCCTGCCTTCCCATCATTTTCTTTACCTTTCCCTCTCATATTTTCAATACTATTTTTTACTGCTCACGTCGTTGGCTGGACGCTGCTAACTATCCCTGGTGATGGTGTTACAGTCAGTGTGTGTTGGTGAAGGCTTTTGACCCTCCAAGCCTTCTACTATTCCTCTGTCTTGTATGTACTGAGTTCACTGTCGCGTCACTGTCCATATTGGTGTTTACGTCAGTGTGTGTTGTTGTAGGTAGGAGGCCTGGGCGTGTTAAGCACCTCCTCCTCCTCCTCCTCACTCTGGTCTCCGGGCGTCTGGCTCGACCTGTCGCCCGCCCACTACCTCTCTTGTTGTTGCTCTCTGTTGATGTTTGTTTTATCCTCAACCTCTACCTCGGTCTTGGCCTCCATTGTTCCCTACGATTATGTGTTGTTACTATGTTACTGGTGTGTGTGTGTGTGTGTGTGTGTGTGTGTGTGTGTGTGTGTGTGTGTGTGTGTGTGTGTGTGTGTGTGTGTGTGTGTGAGAGTGATCCTGCCCGAGGAGTGGTTATGGGGCGGTAGTAGCAAGGATGCAGGTGTGTGTCTGTCTTTGTCTCGTGTGTGTGCGTGTGTGTGTGGACACTAGTCTGTGAGAAAATAAGAGACCAGCAGTGAGAGTACGGATGGTTGCGTTAAGGAGTTCGTGATGATGGCTGGCGAGAGAGAGAGAGAGAGAGAGAGATCCAAGTTGTGGTAGTGTTAGCTGAGCTTACTACAACTTGTTCTCTCCTGGAGTTGCACACATCCCTCCCTCACTCCACTACGCATCAGAATAACAACACGGATACGTCTCCACCAGTTCACACGTCATTTTAAGAACCTGATAACAGTACACTCTAATTGATAAATTAGTTGAGCATGGCTTAGGTTAAGTCGGCTGGATTAGGCTAATTAGGTTGGGGTTCAGTATAGGTAGGTTAGGTTGTGTTAGATTAGGATAAGGCTATTAACGTTACGTGGCGTTTGGGATATTGTCGTACAGGTCTTTAAAACTTATTAGCTATCTTTGTGTTGTAACACGAGGCAGACGGCGTTAGCAACCACCTCCGCGTCTCTTCACCTGCCGGACACACACCTAACACCTGCCGGACACACACCTAACACCTGCCGGACACACACCTAACACCTGCCGGACACACACCTAACACCTGCCGGACACACACCTAACACCTGCCGGACACACACCTAACACCTGCCGGACACACACCTAACAATTCTTTGATACCATCACAGTTTGTTTAATGTATTTGTTTGTTTGTGTGTGAGAGAGAGATGACAACTTGGACCACTTAAGCAGTTGTGTTGGTGATAGTGGTGCTGGTGGTAGTGGTGTCGAAAACAAGCAGATGTGCGGTAGTTACTGGTGTACTGTAGCTGATAGTGGTGGCAGCGTCTGTCTGTTTGCGGTGGTGTTGGTATTAGTGTGTTGTGTAGGGCAAAAACAAGCCAGCAGCCGGTAGTTACTGCTGGAGGTGATAGTGGTGCTGGTGGTTGTGGTGCCTGGTGTTAGTGGTGCTGGTGGTAATAATGCTACTGATGGTGTCTGGTGGTAGTGGACTGGTGTTAGTGGTGCTGGTGGTAATGGTGCGTACGTGTGTGTGGATGTGCTTGCCTTTATTTGTTAGTTGGTGTTGCTTAAAGCTGACTGCGGCTGGGGTCTGGGCTTATCGTTCCTGCAGCAGCTTCCTGTGTCCTGGCTGGCCGACCCGGGACTCTCTCCACACAACAAAGTTCCCCCCTCCCCCCCATATACTCCACCTGTCTGCCTTTACGATGCCACAGAGGCCATTTGCCTTCCCCACTTGACGGGGCTCCCTGACAATACTTGCTTCTGTATGAAAGTAAAGTGCCACTGTGTGTGTGTGTGTGTGTGTGTGTGTGTGTGTGTGTGTGGACGATCGAGCTTGCGTCTATCAGCTTTATCTGTGTGATCTCACCTCTTTGTGCCTACCTACCCGGCCCACTCTCCACCCTCGCCCGCCTCGCAGTATAATTTGTCCACCTCGGGATTTTTGGTTGCCCCAGTCCGTCGTTCCCACCGCCGCCTCCTGCCTCTCTATCTCCCAGGTTTTGTACTAGATTCTTATGTATATCGCGCGCGCGTGTGTGTGTGTGTGTGTGTGTGTGTGTGTGTGTGTGTGTGTGTGTGTGTGTGTGTGTGTGTGTGTGTGACCAGATGAGAGATTTATTTACTAATTTACCATTTGTTTTCTCTTCTCAGGTATGTGGAGAGTGTGTGGCGGTGTTGACGAAGGCCCACGTGAGTACCTTACCTTACCTTACCTTACATTACCTTACCTTACCTTACCTTACACTCGTGCTGCCTGCCACCTCACTCACTCACACCACAACCTGCCACCTGTTTACACTGCCACAGATGTTTGGAACATACTTGGTCTATACTGGCCTAAACAACAGCTCTCAGACAACACACGCTTACATTATACAACATTCAACTTCAAGTGGTATAAAGACAACTTTTATTTACAATGCAACGTTTGTTTTTTATGTAACGTTTCACCCAAAGGATAGAATCCTAACAGTTATACAGTAATTGTCATTAACAGTAGAAAGAGATTGGCGTGTTTTACTCGCCTACACAACGGTCACTGTGTGTCACCTCTCAGTAGTAGACAGCTTCGGTGGAAACAACAGTTGTGCAATTATCTGTAGACAGCTATTTGTTTTTGTTTACACTCGGGTCACCATCAAGGGTACGAAGCTATTGTTTTCTTAACGGTAACCTCTAAGGGTGTAAAGCCAGCGGCTGTTTACATCGACACAGCTGATCCATTGTTTGTTTACACCCGATACTGGTAACACAGCAAGGACTGTAGCGTAACGAGAGACACAGACAGCAGGTAGGGCGAGAGAGAGTGGGTGGGTGTTAGCATCAGTTGTCAGGATATAAAACTAATGACCCCCTTAATCCCCACCCCCATCTGTCTCTCTCACACACACAGAGAGCGCATCTTGCTTGACCCCGGCGTCTAGATCCTGTCTGAATTCCCGTACCCAACTCTCTCTCTCTCTCTCTCTCTCTCTCGTGTACTTTGCATATTTACTGTGGAGTTACGAATTTGTTGTTGTTGAGTGGAATACCTTGAGTGGGCCGGGGCGGTACATTTAGTGGTCAGGTCGGAACAGTTTAATAGCTCTGCTTACTGGGACATGATCGCCTACAACCCGTCCGTCAGTCTCTCTCTCTCTCTCTCTCTCTCTCTCTCTCTCTCTCTCTCTCTCTCATAAGCTCTAACGTTCCTGATTTAACCAAATATATGAAGGTTACATTTAGTAGAGTAATAGGTGTGTTAAGTAGACCAGGAAAAGTGTGTGAGTATTTTAAGAGTGAGAGTTGTTTTGGTTTTTATGATAGAAAGATTTGTGGTAAAAACTGAGGGCCAGTGTTGAGGCTGGTGAGGTGAAGAACGTTTACAGTGTGTCCAGCAGTAATTAGGAACCTGGGTGTTAATCGATTTGTGGATGGTGTTCTGGGGTATGTTTAGCCAGTGCAGTTGGCGAGTTGTCCGATCTTATTATTCCTTAACACTGGGTCATGCAGCTCGTATACTTAAGGTTTGGCTGTTGTGTTGGCGACACCATCTACACTTTAACCACTTCACGCTTAAGTGGCCTCAGTGCCGGCCAGCCTCGAACACGAGGAGCAACCATTATTATTATTTGATACACACACACACACACACACACACACACACACACACACACACACACACCAGTGTTATCTTTCAGTAAGTGGCACCCTCCCCCCAGGCAAGGCACAGTGCCACGCATGAGAACCTCGCTGACTGTGTAGCAAAAGTTTCACATTTCAGTGAGTGGTGTTGTGGGACCAGCCTAAATAATCCGATTTCATAATTAATCTGACGGAACAAAAAATAATAGTCAGGAGTTTCAGACCGTTGGTTAATCGCATTTAAAATAAAACAATATTGCCCATTGCTCTGTATTCACCTGTAGTATTCAATTGCAAATGCCGAATTTAATTATTAACTTGCAAATTGAATTTTTTTGTTTGCGGAGAGTGGAAGTGAGGGATGAGGGAGTGTTTGGTGGAGGGACTGGTGCAGGTGAGGAGAGGATTATTGTGTGTGCTTCACCTTGTAGGAGAGTGAGGGTGTTCAGGATAGAGTAGATACACTTTTACCCTGGTGACCTTGACCGGTTTGTTTGTTCAAGGTCACACAGCGATGACACTTGTTCATACATCAGATACACACATACACTTGGATACATATTTACAGTTGGCGTACATAATTTCGTTGCGTCTTATCTACAGTAAACGTGTGCACTTGTAAGTATATTGGTGTTTAACTTCAAGAGAAACACACATACGGTGCAGAGACCATCATTATATGTAAACTTGTGCTTACAGGAGGCAGCCACTGGTGAAGGCTTTATACCGAACAGACGTGTAAGTGTACAACAAGTACTGGTAAATTGTCGTGTGTGTGTTGTAGTAGCTGCGAGATGACTGAAGGTGGCAGTAGTTGTGTGTCACCTGGTGTTAGTGATGGTGGTTCTCGTCTTAGTCTTGTTAATTCCCAAGAGATATTACTCGCAAGACCGACTCCATCACTGCTTTTGGTGCCGTCAACTAGAGGAGTCGTTGTCAGTAAGACTGTTGGCGTCGTTACCGCTGGTCGGCGGCCACAGGAAGCATGAATCTTTATTGACGTTGATTGTTGCCAAATTGCACCTGATGTGAATTTTTAGGGGAGGGCAGATTATAGGTGTGTGGTGAGCTACGGTGTATAACTCTGTGACTCTATTGGTCAGGAGCGCTTCTTACCACCTCACACGCAAAAAAAAAATATGCTCGTTTAGCGGGTCGCGACGACGGAGTGGCTCAGAGGCCACGCCGGGGTATCAGGATAGCCTCGGGTACTGTCTCTTACTGGCTGGCGGTCAGTCAGTTAATCAGATCCTTCACCGCCTTCAGATTGTCTCTGCTTACTCAGTGTCGTGAACGTAACAAGTTTTGCCAGATGTGTGGTGCTGCTACGGTCTGCACTAAGTACAGTACAGTACAGTATAGTACAGTACCTTGTTCAGAGTTCCTCAGAATTGTGGATGGATACGATTTGTATTGGAATAAGAAATTAGGACAACCAAGATCTTGACGTAATGTAGAGTTTGAAATATTAAATGGAAGATCTAAAATGTTTTTGTGGAGCACGTGTGAAGATGTCAAGAGACTCTAAGAGGTGGCGAGGGACTTGAGTGTAGAGAGAGGTGTAGCGGAGGGAGAGGAGTGTAGAGGGAGGTAAGGGGAGGAGAGGAGGGAGAGGACGGAGGGAGAGGTAGAGGAGGTGAGCAGGAGGTGGGGGAGGGGAGAGGAGGTGAGGAGGAGGGAGAGGAGTGGGGGGGAGGAGGGGAGGGAGAGGGAGGGGAGGGGAGGTGGGAGAGGGGTGTAGGGGAGGAGAGAGGGGTGTGAGAGGGAGGGAGGGGGGGGGAGGGGGGAGGGGGAGGGGAGGGTGAGGGAGGGGGAGGGAGAGGAGGGGGTGTGGGGGAGGTGGGGGAGGGGAGAGAGAGGGGGAGGTGTGGGGAGGGAGAGGGGAGGGTGTGGGGGAGGAGAGGAGGAGGGGAGAGTGAGGGAGGGAGAGGGGTGTAGAGGGGAGGGGGGAGGGTGTGGGGGAGGGAGGGAGGGAGAGGTGGGGGAGGGAGAGGAGGTGGGGAGGTGTAGGGGGAGGGAGGAGGAGGTGTGAGGGGGAGGTGAGGGGAGGGGAGGGAGGTGGGGGGGAGAGGTGGGGGAGGGTGGGGGAGGGAGGAGGGGGGAGGGAGGAGGGTGTGGGGAGAGGAGGGGAGGGAGTGGGGGAGGTGTAGGGGTGTGGGGAGGAGAGGTGTAGGGGAGGGGGGGGAGGGAGAGGGTGTAGAGGGAGGAGGGGAGGAGGTGTGGGGGAGGGGAGAGGGAGGTGGAGAGGGAGGTGGGGAGGAGGGAGGAGAGGGGAGGGGGGGAGAGGAGGGAGGGAGTGTAGGGGAGGGAGAGGAGGTAGAGGAGGGGAGGAGTATTCTCAACGTGTTTCTATACAAAGTTCTACCAGGCCACAGGTCGTCACAGGAGGGTGGAATCGGTTAGACGTGTGTGTGTGTGTAAGTAATGGCGGGGGTAAAGGGGGAGGAGGGGGTGGGGGTAGGGAGAGTCATTGCGGTCGTAATAAATTGGACAGGTCAATACTAGAGGTCAATATGCGAGAGAGTGGTATCCGGGCGAGCGTATCACACACACACACACACACACACACACACACACGGGCGATGCTGAAGGTGTGAGGGAAGGTTGTTACTCTGGCTTAAGGATGTGGGGGGGGGGGGAGCTAACTTAGTTTATAACCTAACCAGTCCTACCTCAATCTAATCTCGCAAATCATGTTACACTGCCAGTCTTAATGTAGCGTATCAACTTTATTTAACTTAACACAGTCTACCTTGGATCACTTGAAGATTAGGCACTCCATTTTAGGATAGGATAGGTTGGGTTAGGATTGGCTAGGATAGGATAGGATAGGTTGGGTTAGGATTGGCTAGGATAGGATAGGTTGGGTTAGGATAGGATAGGTTGGGTTAGGTTGTATAATAATCATCATGTATTATATATATGCCAGTGTGTCTACTGTAAGAAGACATTTCAGTTGATGAGGTTTTGTCCAAAGGGATATATTTTATGGTGGGATTTTGTCCGTCCACTGGTCTACCAATCCCTAACTCCAACCCCCAACACCCCTCTTCCTCCCTCATCACGTCCCCCTCTCTCCCTCCCTCAACACCTTCCTCATCCCACCCTCAGCACCCCCCCATACCCCAACACCACCCCCCCCCTTCCGTGACTCGGTGTCTCTCCACCACAATCACTACCACCTTTACTTAAGTTTTCCAGTGATTATGTCGACTTTGAATTCACTTCGCATTCAGAATATATTATGCCAAGAGTATCTATACATTTACAGTACACACCCAGAGTATTGAAGCACGTACAGAACAGGTACAGGTGCTTAGACGCATACAGATATAAACAGGGAGAGAACGTGAAGGTACAAGGGAGTACAATAAAAAAAATACAGGTACAGTGAGAGGTACAGCTGCAGATTTAGGTCCAAGTGCAGGCAGGCAGGTTCGTGAAGTAACACACAGGCAACTTACCTAAATGTTCAGGATTGTGCAACCTCTTGAAGGGAAAGCTTTCAATAATTTTCAATGGGCTGTGTTGCTTAAACGTTGTCAACAAACCTGACCAATGTTGTCAATAGTCCAGAGAGTTGGGATGGCGGCTTGAAGTGGTGGGGGGGGGGGTGAGGTAGCTGATGTGCTGGAGGGGTGAGGTAGCTGATGCTGGAGGGGTGAGTAGCTGAGCTGGAGGGTGAGGTGCTGCTGGAGGGGTGAGGTACCTTACTGGAAGATAATGAAAGGGTTTTACTGACGAACCTGTTGCTTGGTATATTAAGATGTCGGGTGACGGGGAGGTGCAGGTGGCATATAAAAAGGTGGTGAGGATGGGCCGATGGGGAGGTGAAGGTGACATGTATAAGGCGGTGAGAATGGGCCGTGGGGGGGGGGTGTCGTTGTAAGGCTGGGTCGGTGGGTGTATGTGTCGTGTGTGAAGGTAATCAGGGGCCAGGGTGGCGACGTTGGGGTGGCTGCCACACATACCATTGTTACCTAGTCATATAAATGCGTGGCGGGGCAACACCACCACCACCTTCCTTCCCTCCCTCCCTCCCTCCCTCCCTGGCTCGTAAATCTCCCGTCCGCTCCTCGTTACAGACACGTCTAGGTGAACACGCGGGCGAGTAGGTGGACGTTTTTACTTCAGAACCTCAACGATCAACCGCGCTGTAGTACATAGGCAAACCGTAACAGCCAAATTGATCTGAAGTGTTCCCGGGAAAAGTTTAGTCATGAACCAAGGTAAACGTCCGCCAAACATGGTGTGGCAGGTTTGCTGACTTGGTGCATCAACTGAAGCTCCCCTCCTCCCCGCCCCCATCTTATTTCCATTAAAGACTAAACCATCCATGCTAATCTAAACAAACTTAACCTAACATAATCCCCCCCCCCCCAAAAAGTGGTTAATTCAGATGAAATGTGGTGTGGTAAGGGGGGGGGGTGAATATTGAGGTGATTCGACTTAGGAGACAGGTGTGATGAGTACTTGTATAGTTCACCCCAGCATGAGTCATCACCCACCCCACACCCTCGTGACCATGTGTGTGTGATAATAAATAAAGTAAATGTGTTGTAAGTCATCCTGGCAGCGTCACGCTCGCCCCTCGTGTGTTATTTCTACCTCTGTTATCACAAGTACTGCACCAGTTATCATATGTTGCCGGTATTATCCTCTTCTTCATGCTAGTGTTACCTCCAGTTTTTCTTCTCTCTGTCTCTCTCTTACTCGTCTTCTGCTCGTTCCTAGTCTTGTATTTATTTATTTATTAATAGTTTCCTTTATCACCATTTTAGTTTCCTAATCTTTTGCTTCTCGGTCTTTCTCTGCAATTTTCTCCCTATTCTCCATTCATTTCCTTTCTCCTCCTATGAATTTGTTCTTTCTCATTTTCTATTGTTTTCCATTTTTCCGCAAAACTGTCGATTTCGGTACACCTGCAACGTTCACTCCTTCATCACCTCCGTCAGCTCTCCTATGGTTAAAATAGGTATTAGAATTTGTTGCTCACTTGAAAGATTTGCTCGGTAGATTTTCACCCTAATGATTGATAGCCCTGATGCTACCTGGCGAGTCTAGGTTATAGGTTAGTTTATTGTTGGGTTAGGTTAGGTTAGGTTGACTGTACCCCTCCACAGTCGACATCACACCAGCACCTACCTCACCTAACATGGCCATTGACAATGTCTTCCTCCTGTTTTTTATACACTTTTCTTACCAACATTTTAAGAAGTATTGAATAATACTTCGTGGGGATGGTTGGAGCGCTCACCAACAAATGTAGTATATCTTCAACAATACAATGACCTGTCTTGTATATCTGCGTCACTTGTCACAACGTACCCAAATTGGCAGTGAGAAGTGCGCACGTGTTTGAGTGAGTGAGTGACTGGGTGTCTCAGATGTGAGTAGGTGGGTGATGTTTGTGTATATAAATCTCAGGATGGTTGCTTCTCTCGTAGTGTGTGTGTGTTCGTCTGTATGTGAACCAGATCTAGTCAATACCACAAGAGGTTCAACAAGTCGAGACCTGACTGAAGAAATGACCTTGATGCGCTAGTGCTGATGTGGGGCTTGGTCCACAGTCTGACTTCAGGGTTACTTGTAAAGATCCTACTTCTGCTTGTACACTTAAGACAAACAGATGTACAGGTTAAAGGAATGATTAAGTCAAGTTGAACTAACAAAAGAATACTATTTTATAATTATGGACAGTTAGTGAGTGGCGCCTGGGAAGAGGTGTGGTGTTGTTCAGTGTCAGGCTGGGTGATGGTGGCGGTAGAGGTACTGGTGCCCCCTGCTTGATGGCTTCTGAGAACACCAGATTCAGACCTTTACTGTAAAAACGCGGGTGCCCCTGAACTCTGGGAGGGAGAGGGGAGTGGCAATTTGATCAACCCTCCCAGCATTTCCTCTCCACTGGGGCAGCTACTGGTCGCTTCTGAGGTAGGGAGGGTAGGTGTAGGTGGGGAGAGAGGTGAGAAGCATGCTGGTGAGGTATACGGAACCATACGTAGCGGCCTTGGGAATTGCATTTTTCCCTTAAAGAATAACATTATTTTGAATTTCCATTTGCAGTTCATATGGGCTTCTTTGAGAAACTGAGAAGATACTTTGTGTTAAGAATGTAGAAATTGAGAGGGGCTTCTCTCTCTTTAAAAACCTGTGTTTCCTTAATTACAGTGTAAGGAGTGCCAAGATTTAACTGTATGCTGAACACATGAAACTTGAGTGTAGGTATTCTTGAAAAATTAAATGCTCTTCATTAATGAGAGAAATGTGGTCAGTAAATTTTAGGCACCCATATAGCTTATCTGGGTTAAGGCCTGTGATATCATCACTATGTGGAAGTTTGTTTACCTGTACTTTGTGTTTAAGCTTTACTCTTGTTAATATATTTGAATTTACAATACTTTTATAATGTATCTTTTTGCAGGGTGGCGGTGTGAAGGCCGACATGAGAGTACCGGCAGCGTCTGTGTACCGGACGGGCGGTGTGGGCGGCGTGGTGGGGTGTGTAGGGGTGGCAGCGTCAGCCCCTGCTGCTGCACATCCACACATAGACCACGATGAGGAGCAGATCTCCCGCCTCGCCCACCACCTCTCACAGATCTCCGGCGACCATGATGGCTTGCAGGTGAAAACTGACACACACACACACACACACACACACACACACACACACACACACACACACACACACACACACACACACACACACACACACACACACACACCTCCATTTATAAAACAATTATAACCAATTTATCATTTTCTTTCCAAGTCGTTTATTTATACAATACAGTACAAACTAATCCAGCTCATAATGGAATTTAAATTACTAAAAAAAATACTCAATAGGCTATATGATATTATTGCTGAGGTACAGAAGTAGTAATAAGGATATGACATAGTAGTCTTAAATGCTTTCTTAGAATCTTAAAAAATACCATGATACCCAATATCATATTTTCTCTTAACTAATCTGAATGAAGAACATTGAATGAATTATTTAATATAACTCCTGTAGTTCAATATTGTACATTGTTGTTCATTGTACACATGCTCAGGTTGTCCTCCCAGGGCCCACAAATAGGCTGTATAACTTGTGGATACCTGTAATCTTTTACTCGCTTCTGTTTCATCAGATGTACAGTTTGCTTTGGTAGAGGGTAAAGGTTGACCAAGTCTTTTTAGTGACATTGGCACCAAGCATATTGTTAATATTATTTGTATTGTGAGATTCACTACTTAATATTCATTGGGTAATTATTTTAATGTATTTTTGTATCATTATATTGATATATTTCCTTCTTACAGGTGCTGGACCAGGAAGATTTGGCTGCACTGTTACCAGATGTAAGCAGTGGTATTGGCCACCAGGATGGGTCATCTGTGTCCCTTGATGGGTTCACCGATGACGTTGTAGTGTCTCGGACGGGCTCTGACACCGAAGGGGACGAACATGGTTCAGATGTGGCCGGTGATGACGACGACGATGACTTACCGGACGTTATTGTGCGTGAAGCTATCAACTCCATGGCTATTGTGGGAGATGAAGCTGCCCTCAAGTTCAACACAGTGCTGATGGATGATTTGGATGATGTTGATGGTAGAAATCGGAGTCGGCATCACCAGCACTCCCAGCATCAGCAGGGTCAGAGTAGGTTGGGGCAGCAGCAACGGACGGCAAGAAGTCCGAGGGCAGAGACGGGCTCGAGGAACCGGGATGAAGTAGTACTCGGAGACAAGAGAAGAAGAGGACGGCCACCTCGGTCACTCATCACAGGAAAGGATACTCATCAAGAAGAAGATCCAGATCCCCCTCCCATGCCAGAACTAGAAAGTTATGTTCCTTTAGACTGTAATGTGTCAAATGTTTCCCCAGACAGTGGTATACAGTCAGTGAGTGGCTCTCCTTTGCACCATATTGGTTCTCCACCACACCATCATTCTCCACTGTATAGTGCTGGGAAGTCTGTTGATGGCTCAGGAAGCCATAATCGGCCATATTCCCCCACATTAGTTTCTCAAGATTCACCTCCACCACCCACCTTATTACCAGCTGTTACTCCCCCACATTTGTTAAGTTCACCTCATTATGATTATGATTCCCCAAACTCCCCACAAATGCCAGCCCTGAAGTGTCAAGTAGATCCACCCCCTATACTGCAGGCTGATAATGCTAAAAGAACTAGTCTTGAGGAACAAGGCACATTAAAAAAGAGAGGACCAGGGCGACCAAAGAAGCAGCTAGAGAGGCCTAAGCGACCAAGAGGAAGACCCAAAGGATCTAAAAACAAAAGACCAAAGAATGTGGAGGGACCACTCACAGTAGATTTCAAGGAAAATGCTCAGAGCCTTCCGAGAGACTCGGACAGTTTCAAGTGTTATAGAAGTGAACTTGGATCTAGTGCACCCGTGGCCCATGTGTTGAATGTGTGTAGTGAGGACAAGTGGAACCCTGATATAGACACAGAGGACCTTCCTCCACCTCCAGAGCCCATCCCTCCTCTGAAACGTGGACCTGGCAGGCCCAAAAAGATCCCTCCAGTGTTAGAACCCAGTGTACCCCTCCAGGAACCACAGATAAACAAAGTACAAAGTGAGCACACAGCAGAGCCTTGTGCTGAACACAGTGCCAATCTTTCTAGTGCCAAGCCCAAAATCCAAGTAGCCAGTTTTGAGCCATCCAATTCCATGAAATTTAATCATAGGAAAACGAGAGACGAATTATTAAGGGGAAAGCGGCCAGTGGGTCGACCAAGGAAATACCCCAAAAGAGAAGAAGTAAACTCCTCAAGTAGTTTACCTGCCACTGCAGCTAGTAAAAAATGTTTCAGTGAAAGAATAATGCACAAAATTATCAATGAAAAGGTTCGTAATAGTGAAAAATCGGATAAATTATCTGTCCGAGTTGAGGATATTGAAGGTTCCATGGAACCCTTCAGTGATCCTTATGCATTTCATGACCTACCTGTCGGAAGCCTACAAGACGCAGAAAGAAAGCATCAGAAAAAAATCCTCAAGCCAAAGTTCAACAGTGAAGGTATCCCTCTGGAAGGGAAGAAGAAGAGAGGAAGGAAAAAAGAATTACCAGCAATATTTGAAAAGGTATATGGGAGTCAAGATCTGAAAGCCAAAATTAAAAGTGAAAGCGGAAAGCCAACATTCTGTGCAACTACATTGTCATTCAAACAGATACACAAAAAGAAGAAGAAGAAGCCCAAACACTTCAAGAGCAAACATAAAAATATTGTGGACCCAGTCTTTCTCGCAGACTTGGAAGATCTCACCAGAGGTATTCAACAGTGCTCCATATCTAAAATACCAATCCTTCAGCAAACAAAACCTGGTGAGGTACTTTTACCCTCAATATTTCGTTTAAGAAAAGTATCACTTGCAGCAAAGAAAAGACGTGGCAGTGAAAAAACCAGGACAAGTGACAGGGAGTCAGGAACAGAAGGGGAGAGTGGCAAGGAGAAAGCCTCAGGCAAGAGGAAGAAGAAATTACAAGAGGTGCCAAAGCAGGTTAGTTCTTTGCTCAGGAGAATTCTGTGCATTTCTCTTTATTGTATTGTATTTGCCGACTCTGTGAATACAGTATATATAATCTTGCCCTAACTCACTGATACATGTTTTGACGTGGCACCCAGCTTGCATGGCTATCCACAGCTAGTGTAGTTTATAACTAATTTGCAGTTGCTTTTGTTTTACCAGTAAAGGTTCAGGATATTAGATATAAATTATGACAAGTGTAATTATTTTTTTATTTTTTTTTTACATTAAGGTTGATACAGCTCCACTTCACTGAGAATGGAGTAAATTATATGAATGAAGCATTTTGATAACAGACAAGAAAGCTAATTAAGCATGTTAATGAATAATGAAAGTTCTTGGTGTGCATTTGTGAAAAGGTACTAGAGAGAGTTGAAGTGAGAGTTAATGCAGTAGACACATACTGTACATAGTGACTGACAGAGATTTGGCTATATTTTGCATCTATGTGGGCATGACAAAGTCTCAATCAAATCATTCAATTCGGAGTTGTATTCAGAAAGTTGGCTGATACAGTTGAAAAGATTGTCTGAGTAAAGTAAGTGTAGGTCTGGGGGAATAGGTGAAGTAATGAGTGAACACAGTTTGAACACTGCAAAAGCTGTTAATTTTGTAAATCTTTCTGTGATTGTGAAACTGATATACCTTTTCTCTCTCTTCAGGGTCGAGAGCGGACAGAAGCAAATGAGCAAAGGCTTCCTCTGAAAAAGCGACACCGCCACATTTCAACGGCAGTGCCTGCTACACCAGAACCCCCCAAAGTTGACAACGTAAAGAGTGAAGTTAGTGTAGCTAAAGCAAATGAAAAGGCAAGTTGTGCTGACAAAGATTCCAAAATTGAAAAGGAGGAGAAAGATAAATTGAACAAAATTGATCCTCGGTCAGAGAAGGCAACAGTTCCAAAGCCTAGTGTACTCAATGAAACGCCAAAGCCTGTGAGAACTGAAAGCAAAGTAATTAAACAGAGTACTGATGACATTAACAAGAAAACAGAAGAAACTATGATAATAGAATCAGTAACAAGAAAACTAGAAGAACAAGTAGCCAAAACTACCAGAGCTGAAGAAACTGTCCAAGTACCTGAGATCGCAAATGTTAAATCTACTGATGATTCTGAGGAGAACAACAAAGTTACCAGAGTTTGTGTCAGTGAACCAGTTGTGAACAAAGTAGTAGAAAAAACTGAACCTGTCACACGAGCCAACAGTGAGGTCCCCACTTCAACTCGTACCACAACCACAACACCCAAGAAGAGGCACAGATTGGAAGTAGATTTAGCTAACACTCCTGCTGCAGCAACAAGAGCCACAGCAGGATTAGTTAAAGGAAAGACTGAAAAGGAAGTGCCAAAGACTAAAGAAAGGGAAGTGTCTGTCAAAACTCCAGTAACAAAGTCTCCAAAAGTTACCAAAGATCCGGTCTTCAAAGATGTTGGAAGCACGCCTCTACCTAAGGTGGAAGACACCAGTGACAACAGTTCTAAGGTGTCTCTTGCAGAAGAAGGCAAACCAAATAGTATTGTAGGAGTAAATAAATCTCAGGAATCAGATGAATCCCCTGCACAACCGTCTAGTGTCCCTGAGACTGTGTTTGAATCTCAACCCCAAAAAGAAAGTTCTGGGACACACTCAGACAGTGATATACCCAGTGAACATGAGCCATTGTATGAGAGTGACCAGAGTGGTTTCATGTCCGATAAAGAAGGTCCCAAAGAAGTACCAATCAAACTGCCACAAAAACGACGTAAAAAGAAAAGGGAGTTAAGATCACCGATTCCAAAAGTAACAGATAAACTTCCTCCGGCAGAAGTCACAGAAGACAATGACCCTCCTCCATCAAAGAAGAAGAAAAAAATAAAACGAAGGAAAACAAATCGAACAGGTTTTCCTACAATTAGGAAAAAGAAACGGAAGGCCAAAGATTTCCCAGAACAAAAAGGAATTGAAAAAGAAGGGAATTGCCTTAATATTGAACCAACAAGTAAAATCAGTAGTCCAGAAGAATGTCCTAGCAGTCAACCCATGGAGAGCTCTAGCAGCATGCCTGTGGAAGGCTCCAGTAGTGTTTCAGGGGAAAACTCCAGTAGTCTTCCTGTAGAAAGCTTTTGTAATGAGAAACAACCCAGTGATCCAGAACCAGATAAAACAATAGATGATGATGATAAAGAAGCCCCAGATATTCCTGCCATTCTTCCAGAATTTGAACCCACAGTAACAAGGTCAAGTAGAGATAAGTTGGAAAACCCCTCATCTAAAAGTCCCGTCCCAGTACCAGCCCCCAGACCACGGGGACGCCCAAAGAAGACCAGTGCTGAAACCAAACCACAATCGAGAGCACCTTCTGTATCACCATCTCAGTCACCAGAGAAAGTTCCCAAACAGCTTCGAGAATCATTAAGGGAAAGAAGATCAACAAAGTTAACAGACTTTGCTCAAGGTGAGAAAAAGCCAGATCCAGAACAGGATGAACAACAACTTGAGAAGATGCTGGAAAGAGTTGCCACAGGCATTGGATGCAGAACACGGAGGAAACGCGACCTAAGCGAGGAGAGTCTCAAGATGATTCAGTCCGATGGAAAGAGGCAAAGAAAAGGAGAAGAGGAAGTAAGTTTTTTATAATTATTAACTCCCATTTACCTTCAGGGATTCCTCTGAGTGAATTATATCATAGTACAACAATTCAAACATGAGTTCATTAATTAAAAACAAATACTGTACTAACAATCCTCATCAGTTTACAGTATAAGTGCTTATTTCAATTACCAGAAGAACTATAAACTATAATATCAGTAATATCTCTTCATAAGGACCATTATGTTCATCATCTTTTCAATAATAACATTAATGATTGCTTCTGGAAAGTATCTTATGGTATATATTTACAAGTAAAATTTTTTTAATCATCACATTTTCACACACAACATACCATATAGCACAACAATCATATACCTCAATGAAAACATATACTGTACTGTCGTACAGTATATTATTATTGATATCTTAACTACACATAGTGATACTGTCTCGGCGTCCATCCAACCTTAATGTAGAACTATCTTCATTTTGTGCTGTTATTGTTTAATGTTAGTACAAGTGAACTACTTATCATGTAACCTAACTTGATCTAGCTCAAAGCACCCCTTACCTTTTAATTTTGTTATTATACAGTAATCTTTAAAGTACTACCGGGTAGCTCTCTTCTGTCAATTACAATTAATATAATTTAAAACTTTTCAGGTGGAGGATAGTGATGCTGTCATCTTGTCCTCTGAGAGTATGCCCAGCAGTGAGCCACCATCTGGAGATGAAAGTAACCGAACTGTACCTGGTAACAGGAGAGTTCCTCGTTGGCGGAAGAAATACCTTGTTGCGGGCCTCTTTTCATCTTACTACAAGGAGGATGAGTAAGTGTAGATTATTCTGTAAAGTTATATAATTATTTTAGGATTGCATTTATTATAATATTAAACCCTTGCTATTCATGGCAGTTAGGTTCCAAGGAATGGAGCAAGTTGGCAAGACTGCGAATAGTAACTACCTCAGTGCACTACTGTATACCTGTCCAGTTTATGAGAAGCCTAAGTCACCAATACTACTCTTCTTCATATGTGAAGTTTGGAGCTTGTTGAAGTGTACTGTACAGGAGAATGAAATCTGGTTACTGAAGCATAGGGAGGTCATCAGGATTACTGGTGCAAGCGGGTGCTGCAGTGGTGGTTGGTAGAGAGGCGGATGGTGGAGAGGCGCATGGCGGGGAGGTGGGTGGCGGGGAAGGGCAGAACATCACTTTTAATGGTGAATAATTTTATGAAAAGAAAACAGTGAATGGATGGAGGCTCACCTATGAATTAACTGAGTGTGGGCCATAAATACTTAGGTGTTCAATCATTGTGCAGTTTGAATAACCTAATCATACTCTACATAGTTTGATGATAATTTAGTTTTCCATTGCATCATTATTTCTTTTCACCTTGCAGGCCCCGAAGAAGAAATGGTGAAGTGTCCTTGCCAAAGAATAAGCTAACTTATGATCCAGAGGAGCATGTGCATGGCCTTCTTCCTCCACCATGCTACTGCCGTAAATGGCTGAGAGAGAGACACATTGACTTTGTGCTACCATACGACCTTTGGTGGCTCCATGAACACAACATGCTTCCTGGAAGAGATATTGTGCCATCGTGGAATTACAAAAAGATCAAATCCAGTAAGTGTACGATGAATTGGGCATTAAGTAATGGTATAATTATCATAGTTAATATTTGGTAAAGAATTTATAATGAAATTGTTTAAGCTGGTCAGTAAAGATCTTTGCTATATCCTGAAACATCATCAATATTTATTTTTTTAATTTGATATTTGGTTCTTTAGTTGCATATACTGTATATTACTTTACTATTAAATGGATCTGTTTCAGATGTGTACTATGATGTCAAGCCAAATCATGATTATGAATTACAAGCATGCAACTGCAGGCGCCCCACCAAACCTGGCGAACGTGGCTGTGGTGACGATTGTATTAACAAGATGATGCTTATTGAGTGTTTCTCGCAGACTTGTCCTATTGCAGACTCATGTGGTAATCAGCCTATCCAAAGGCATGAGTACAAAACATGTCTCCAGCGTTTCATGACTCCAAACAAAGGCTGGGGCATCAAGGCAACTCAGGAGATCAAAGCTGGAACATTTATTATGGAATATGTTGGTGAAGTGGTTAGTGAGAAAGAGTTTAAGGTGAGGATGCAGACTAGGTATGCCAATGACACTCACCACTATTGTTTGAATCTCGATCGTGGAATGGTCATTGATGGACATCGGATGGGAGGAGATTGCCGATTCGTCAATCATTCTTGTGATCCTAACTGTGAAATGCAAAAGTGGTATGTCAATGGCCAGTATAGAATGGCTCTGTTTGCCTTAAAGGATATTGATGAGGGAATTGAGTTGACTTATGACTACAATTTCTCTCTCTTCAACCCTGCTGAGGGACAAGAATGTAAGTGTGGATCAGAAAATTGTCGTGGCGTTATTGGTGCCAAATCACAAAGGGTAAATGGTTTTATTGATGATAAGAAGAAAGCTCCCAAGAAAGATATGGGAAAGAAACGTAAGCGTGGAACAACAACTGAAGCAGATAACAACTACATTCCCCGTCCACATTTCACTCCAATCAAGCCACTCTCTCACCAGCAACAACTTTTTATCTTGACTCACAGATGTTTCCTTATTCGCAATTTAGAAAAGGTCAAGAAGTCCAGAGATCGTTTAAGTCGTTGTGCTGAGAAAAAACATGAAGAAGTCTTGGATGACCCGGATGAACCCAGCACCAGAGTTGAAAAGTTTCTTACCCACTTTACTGCTCTTAATACTGCTCGATCTGTGAAAACACGACGTCTTGCTCAAGCCGAAGATGACCCCGAAATGACCCGATTAGCTAAACTAGCACAAATCTTTAAAGATATTTTTGATAAACTTGTTGCATCTAGAGATGGCAATGACAAACCCTTGGCCACTCCATTCATGACGTTGCCATCCAAAAAAAAGTATCCCACATATTTCATACGAGTTGGGGAACCTATTGATTTGGCTTTAGTAGAGAAAAACATTCTTACAGGCCATTACATTACTGCCGAGTCATTTGATCGTGATGTAATGCGTCTGTTTGCTAACAACCTTCGATTTTTTGGGCGGAACACAGAAGTGGGGCAGATGGCTGTTGGTTTAAGACGGGTATATAGTGAATGTAAGTTACAGTTCAAACCTTTACTTGAAGAAGTTCTGGGAGAAGATGCACTCCCTCCTGCATTTGCTAATTCTAGTCCCAATGAAGAGTTCGAGGATGAAGATGTGATTCGGTGTGTATGTAATCTACACCGTGATGAAGGAGTTATGATACAGTGTGAGAGGTGTCTGGTGTGGCAACACTGTGACTGTATGGGTGTGACGGACTCTCCCGACCACTACCTGTGTGAAGAGTGCTCACCACGCCTTATCTCTCCAGAGGTTCCCATGAATCCTCAGCCTCCAGATGCTCCCCGAGACCACAAGTATTTCATCACCCTGCTGAGAGACAACCTACAGGTCAAGCAAGGTATGAGAAATAACACAACCTTTGATGTTTAGGAAAGATTCATAATAATATTAAAGTCAACTTAGAAAATGAAACCCATGATAAAAAGACAAACTTATATTAAAATATACAAATCTGATGGAAATTGGCTTCCTTGTCATTTGTAAGTCGCAAGTAGAGTACTGTACTGTACTTATAACTGAAAAGGATGTCGGTGAGCTTTGAAATTTTATTGTTTTAATAAAAAATTGCCTTTTAACAGGTTATATTCTCAGACATTTTTATAACTATGCGAATAAAGTCTAATGGTATAAAGGTGTGGGTTCCCAGTATCCTAACCTGTTCTCTTAAACTAAATTTTGTTAAACAGTTTATTCTTACCAACCACACCACGCTCCTTGAAAGGAAACACAATAAGGCATTTTTTCTAAAGAAGAGAATGTCCCCAGTACTGTTGTGATATTATTGGTCAAATCAACCAAGCTCATTCTAAAATGTGGCTGAAATTGGTTTGGGATATATTGTATGTATTTCACGAGACACCTTTTTAAGGATTGCTTTTTCATTGTCATCTTACTCTGTAGCCACACATCAAGTGCCTTTACCAGTGAATCATTAAAGCATTAGACATGCTCAAGGTAGCTGCTGCTTATTCTTGTGACACTAATTGTATCATCTTATTATGTTTTTACTGGTCATTGATCTAACCAAAACTTGACTGTTCTCAGCAAACTTCTGGCTTTGAGTTTTGGGTTGCATCTATCAAGAGATGAAATGATGTCAGTAATTAAGATGATGGTAATGATAGTGATAAGGATGATTGTGATAATGCAAGTTAATACTAAAGCATGGTCTTTTGTCCTAAATTTCTTCAGTGATTAAATGTACGGTATATATAGGTATAAAAATATAATCCTATTTGTCTCAGGTGACAGCGTGTATATTCTGCGCGATCGGCCTCAGCAGAAGCCAGGAGAGAGACGGCAGCCAGCGTACCGCCTCGTCAAAGATGTCAAACCCCATGATCTCCTAATATTCAAGATAGAAAACCTGTGGATTGATGAAAAGTATGATTTTTTCTTTTCTTTTATTTATATTTTCCATTTTATTATACTGGACACTGTGGTTACTACCATTAAAAGGAAAAATTATCAGTTCACTATATGCAAAAATAGTTTCATACACTGTATTATGTACTGTATGTAGAAAATACAGTAATAGAATAATTTAAAGGGGTAAGAAATGACTGAAAATTAATATGATTCATATTTAGATTATGAATATTCAACATGGATATACAGATACAGTATTTGCATTTCTTATATTAATTGTTCTTTCTTTCACAACAGGGGAGACAAGTTTGCATTTGGTCACCATTATTTACGTCCACATGAAACCTTCCATGAGCCATGGCGAAAGTTTTTCCCAAATGAAGTCATCCGTTCACCACTGTGTGAGATCTTGCCCTTGGACATGGTAATAAATCATTGCTGGGTCTTAGATCTTAACAGCTACTGTAGGGGACGACCCATAGGAGCACAGGAGGACCATGTATATGTGTGCGAATATCGGGTAGACAAAGGTGCCAGAGTGTTCTCCAAGATAAGCAAACCGAAGTACCCTATCTGTATCAAGCCATATGCCTTCATCACCTTTCCAGAGAGGCTAAGACCACAACGGACATACACTGTGAGTACAGTTGTGACATGAAATTTAGTAATATTGTCAAGAAGTTTAAAATTATTTAGGTTACCAGTACAGTACTAATGTTAGAAAGGTTTAATTGAGATTTTTCCATTCTTATAACTATAGATTAAGCTATGATTTTAGTACTGCAGATTGTAATTCAAGATGATGGCGGCAGTGGTGGTGGTGGTTTACATGCTGTGTGGAGAGGGTGGTGCCGAGTCATCTGGGTTAGATTCCACATCACTTATAGTAGAAGTAGTCTGGATAACATCAAGGGGAGAAAGCACAACTATGGGACTGTCACCACCAGACATAAATAGAGGTAGAATGCTGGAGTGGCTGCAAGCTCCTGCAGCAAAGAAAGTGCAGTTGGGTGTGGAGGTTGAAGGCCCTTGAGAAGGGTGAAGGCAGACCAAGTTTTGAAGAACCGCATCATAGTTGTCTACCTTATCAAACGGTGCTTTTGAACTTACATCTCCCTGTAGGGTGCAAGGATAGTGTCTAAACCATGCTTAAAATGCGATGTTTTTATCTATTGTGGCCTGCATAAGAGCCTCAGCCTGTGATAAAAGTCAGCCACCTTCTTCATAGACAATTTTTTAACCTGAGAAACCACCTCTTGCTCCTGTTTATTGTAGTTCGTATCACCACCAGCCATATTCATGAGATCATCCCCATTCAACTTATTATCCTGGGAATCAATAAGTTCCATTATGTCTTCTTCAAGGCCTAAGAAGTCTACTGCATCCATCTTATGTCACATGATAACAACATGTTGCACTGCTGTTGAAAATTTGTGGAAGCCCTTGAAATCATTTACTCCCAGGAGTTGTTTAATATGATTCAGGGGCAAACAATTTTGTCATGGAACAAATCTCTATAATAGGAATCAATTAAAATAGGTTTCAAGTTATACCATTCTGAGTTATGGACAACATTTCAGAAACATAACCCTTCTGTAACGTGAAAGATGCCTGTACTCAGAATATATTCATAAATCTTGTTTATTTATCACTGTTCTCATATTCACCACAATGATATTATTCAATAATACAATCAGAATTTTTCCCTGTCTCTTTCAGCCTCATGAGGTGATATCAAACAGCAGAGGTCGCAGTGGAAGCAGTGGAGGATCGAAAGATTGTCGTGGCGGATCAGAGGAGCGTGGGAGCAGTAATAGTAGTTATTCCAGCAGTAACAGCAACACCAGCTCCTCTTCTACAGCCACAACAGCCACCACAAGCTCCATTGCAACCACAAAGTCCAGTGCTGCTAATAATACCAACACCATCAGTAATAATAGTGACACTGTTACCAATATTAACAACAACAACAACAACAATAGTAGTGGTACCAACAACGGAAGCAGCAGCAGTAGCAGCAGGAGCAGCAGATCTCGAGACCGAGGGGTTCCTCCGCCTCCTCCTGATGAGATAGATGATCACACCCCACTGGCTACTGTAAGAGCTGAGGCCAGGGCACAAAAGGCATGTGATAGCTGGCACCCAACCACCCTTGGCTTTTCTTGGGTTAAGCTCCTTACACCAAAGCTGAGACATTATAGCAACAGTGATTAGAAGATAATGTCAGCTTGATGTTGGGAGCATGACTAATTACTGATTTTCTTGGGTTAAACTCCTCACACCAATGCTAAGAGGCATTATAGGAACAGTGAATAGCAGATAATGTCAGCTTGATGTTGGGAGCATGACTTTACTTATTACTGATATTCTGTGGTTTTTCTTTAGCTTCGCATGAGGTCTTTGGTATGTCTTTACTTTTCATTTAGAAATCTGTGACAAGTCTTCTTTGTGTACCACAGAAAATCAGATCCATTGAGTAAATTTTTTTCTTAAATCAATAATTATCAATCTGGCTGTAACTATTTTTCTGTAACTACTTTTCATGAGAAACCTAAGTTTGCAGAGTATATAAAATCATTAGCTTTTTAAAAAAAAAAAGCTATGAACTTATTTAATTTTCCTTTATTTCCAAAATTATTGCTACATTTTTTAAGACGGCCCTCCTATCCTCCCCCGTAGGATTACAGCATGACCTATGGCTTGGGAATACTAAAAGCCTGTTTGCTTGTTTTGCTCGTACTCTACAACTGTGATGGAAAATATTTTCAGTAGTTCAATTACTTCATTGACTTTCTTTGAATACTGACAACTATGAATTAATTCTCTTGTTCATGCACATTCAAGCCAGCATGTAGAATATATTTTAGTAAAATTTAAATGGGGTAACTGGGTTATCTTTGCTTAGCTGCAATAAACAAACTACATTGACAATGTTATAAGGTCTTGAACTTATTTCTGGCTCAGGCAGAAGGGTACAGCAATTGCTAGAATTTGCACAGGACTTGCCTTGTTTAGGAATCTGACTAAGCTAACCCTCTTCTGTTTGAAAGGTAATGATATGCGGTACACACAAGACCACTAGTATTTGCCATTATTAATTTACCCTTACAATATCCCATGCTTTTTAGGCAGCCATGTGTCTTGAGTTAAAAAAATAAATAAATATAATTTGGTCTTAAAATGTATATACAGGTATAAGATATTTAGTATTCAGACTTTTCTATGAGGAATTGCTACAGAAGATTTGCATACACACTCTTATTATGCCTGACAATTATTAACACACACCTCCTTCCAACAGCGTGCCAAGAAACGTGTTCGGGTGAATAAAGTGGCAACAAGACTTCTCACCCAACTACCAACAAAGGGTGCAATAGACTTGAGTTATTTATTGGAGAACAACAAAAGGCAGCGCAAGAAAACGGCAGCTTTTACCTCCTGAGATTGGCTCATAGGCTGGAACGGCCACCTCACACTCAAGGAAATGGAGGGGCAAGTGTAAAGACAAGAATTAGGATAATTAAGTAATTAAAAATAAATTATTTTTATTATATATATATATAAAATATATATATATATATATATATATATATATATATATATATATATATATATATATATATATATATATATATATATATATATATATATATATATATATATATATATATATATATATATATATATATATATATATATATATATATATATATATATATATATATATATATATATATATATATGTTTTTTTTTTACAAATTGGCAGACAGATAGCACTCTGTATTCAAAATTTAATTTTGAGGTATTTCTTGTGTCGTGCCAGCCTTCTGTGATTACAGAAATTTAAGCAATAGAAAAAAATAAAATTTTAAGGTTTGCTCAAGTTGTGTGCATTACTGTTTTGCCAACAAAGGGTGTAACCTGTCTGCTAAGTTTGAGAAAAAATGTTTTTGAATGGGATGGAAAACAGACATTGGTTGATCTGACTCACATGAGGACATCTTACTAGAAGCTTGAAGATAAATAATAATAAAACCTTGATTCATGGATAATAGTTTTGGCCAGATGAGAGCTTGTTGTAATAAATCAGGTTGTTTATTATTACTGTGTCTCTTGCTGGGGAGTTTGTTGTTTTTACTTGTGAGTCAAGAAAAGCAGATGTTAATGGAATAAACACATTTTTATACCATTATTGTCTGCCTTCTATTTGTTATTGAATGTTAGCGTGTAATCATTATTGGTGTGAAATCCTGTATGGTATGCGAGGAACAAGATACTCTGCCCATACAGGAGAAGGCAGAATTCTTTGAAAGATACAGTATTCTTAAATGGACTGAAATTCAGAAAGTTTTATAAAATATGTGAGGCACTCTTAGTAATATAAAAAGTGTGGTGCTTTTGATAGAGATGGAAGAATGTTGAAAAAGATTGATGGGGCCAAAGCTTTACAAGTGACAGAGCTTTATATTCTTCTGTACATACAAATAGAAAATTAACCCGAGAGACTTGAAGTGGGGAATGTTAGGCTTAGGTTTGTGAAATTGAAGAACAAAGTAATTATCAGATAGTACAGATCTGACAAGGAAACTGTTAATCTTAGAAATTCCTATGGAATACTTACTTAGTATATATAGAAATGATCAAATTGGTCTTATAACATGGATGGTGATTAACTCCAAAAATTTTTACCTAATTTTTTTTATTTATTTATGCTGGAGTTTTAGTTGTCTAGTGGTTCATAACTTTGTGAGAAGAACCTCTGACCTGAAAATTTTCCGAGTTACCATTTATATACTGTACTTTGAATGCAGCTGTAAATTTTTTTATGAAGTTCAGATATGATTTATAATTAATAGTACAATATGATGCTTTTTCATATGTTAAAAAGTGTTAACACTGAAACTGTGTAGTGCATCATGTGGTCTGATTACATGGGCAGAAAAATGAGATTAGAGGCAAATAGAATCATGAAACAGGCAGCTAAAGGACAAGTTCAGTGAGTTTCGTGTGGGCACAAAATTGCACATGATGGTCTGAGGAAGGCTTTGTTCTAGCCTCTTTTGTACTTCAACTTCTTAACCAGAATATGCCATAGATATTGCAAAGGATTACCACTGTACTTACTGATTTATTGTTGTAAGTTCAGCACAATTACAAGGTTTTAAACACATAGAAATATAAGAAATCATGGCTGTAAGTTATCCAATTATATAATTGTACTGCTTGTGTAGATACATAGCTGTAAGAAAGTACAGTACAAAGATTTTTATTTTTTATTTTTTTTATACTAGTGTGTTAATATTAAACTTGAGAGCATGCTTTTCTGTAGGGTAACTAGTCACTGGACGAATTGCCATGCATTTGGTCGATCCTTCCATCATCCCTGTGTACAAGCAATGAAATGAAACTTGTTATCAGTATGATGCAAATTTCAGTATCAGATACTGAATTCACATGCAAGAGGAGTATGTAATACTCATGTACACTTTCATACTTGTAAATTAAGACAACAAATCAAAATTTTTATAAAACCTTAGAAAAGGGCTGGATTTTGTAGTAGATGTTTAATCTATGATAGTAAGTACAAGGATTTTTAAGTTATTTGATTGAGATTTTTAATATATACTTTTAATAATGAATTTTACACTAAGTCAGATTTCTGGTTTCTCTCAAGTATCTGTAAATATTGTTTGACTGGAGAGCAAGAAAGTGACTGAATGCTGTGCATTGTTGTGTGTAACATAGAAGGAATATTTTTATAATGATGTCCGGCAGCTCTTTTGTTCACGTCATTGTTATTACGGTGTCATACACCCTTCGCTGTTTCCCTCATGTTGTGTTTACGTTTGTCTACGTATCACCTGGCAAGATCAGAAAACACCCCCAACACTAAAAAGAAGATAAATTGCACAAAAAAAGGCAAATTTTAGAGATTCGTGTATCGTTTTTCTTGCCTTGAAAGTCAGATGACAACAGGTAGCCTCGTCCTCCCAGGTGGTTAGTTTGTTTTTTAGTCCGGAAGGTTTTTAGAGACGGGGAGGCACTTTTTCATCGGGGTTTGCCTAGGAATAATTGATTACAATAATTTAGTAACCTACCAAAGATATTTTGCAAAATTCAGAACAAATTTTTTTTGTTATCAAATTGTATCTATGTACAATTAATTGAAGTTGTTTTACTAAGTGTCTTTATGGTAAAGATTGATATTGTAGTGCTTTGACAGATAAAAATGCATGTACAGAAGTTGAGATTATAATTATTGTATAAAACAATTGCTTAATGTACAGATCCCATCGCATAAACTATTTTGATGCGTGCATTCCAAGTGTTCCTCCCCTACTAATAAATCCAGGCTGATGATAGCGCATATTTGTAGATATATGACGTATGAAGTGAGTGAGAGATTTTTTGCTACTGTTTGGATGTTGTTTATTCTTTGTATTTGGAGCAGTGGCAGAAGATGCGTGTTCCTTCGTCTCTGTTACCGTGTCCTGCTCCATTGTTCACTCCTATGTGTCCTGCTCCATCGTTCACTCCTATGTGTCCTGCTCCATCGTTCACTCCTACCGTAGTGTCTCCCAACATTTTCTCATGACTCACTCACAATAGAATTAAGCAACTGCAACAGTACCATTAGTTCAGAAAGCTTTTTGCCAGTTAATTGCTGTTGACGGATGTTGTGCATGGTTCACAAAAGTGTTTGTACATGTAACATTTGTTCAGTAGCATTGGACCATAGTTAACGTCTGTGGTAGCCATGTTGGCCCATTTACTGTGGCGGTAACTTAGTGTCACTTCTGCCTGCCACTCCATTAACTATGGTTTGCCCTCTTACCTAAGCAGTTTACAATTTTGCCCCCTAGTTATACTTATTTGTTGGGAGCTCCTCTGTGTCGTAGATTTTTAAAGTTTATGTTATTCAATCCATGTACAAGTGGCGGGAAGGTGCATACCCCTATCAATTACAAAGCGAATCTTACTTTCACTGTCCTATGATATGAATGAATACTGCAGTTCACTGAAAAATTATTTCCATGACAATAGCCCAATATGCATCTTCCCTTATCTCAGGACATAATGTTCATTTGTACATAACCATGAAATTCATCTCAGAATAAATTATAATTTTAATTATGTTTTTCAATATCCGTAGACCAACATAAAAGAAGGCAAAAACTGTGTATGGGTTTATGTATTAATTAAGTACTTCAGGCTACAGGAAAACCTCAGTACAACTTGTCTGTACCAACTACCGAAGGAAAAATGCCTTGGATACAAGATAAAAAAACTTGCCAAAAAAGTTAAAAAAAAATTTAACTACACTGAAACAATACAAATAAATCATTTAAGGATAACACAGTAAATTTTTTAAACAGAGATCTAACTTCAAATTTGGGCCTATCAAAGTAATGACTGCCATTCATTGTCTACTTATATAGTACTGGTGACAACTTACTCTCTCTGCACTTGAAAGAAAAACATTCCTAATTCTTCACTCTTTCATCTCACTTATCTTACACATCCCTCCTCAGTGCTACAAACCCCTTTGCAATTCCACACACCCCTCCCCAAGTTTACACACTTCTTATTCTTACATACTCCAATCACCAATCACACACACATCCCATAATAATAATAATAGCTGGTCTTTTGTTTCGCAAAAGTGCCAGTTCTTCTTAAGAAATCACGAGTGCTTGAAACCACAAATCAAAGACATGAGAATAAAAAGAAATACTGTACTGTAATAAAAGATCACAAAAAGTGACAGTTCAACTTCTATCATACATATGCCCTTAAGTTTTAATACTTCCTAAACCCTGTAATTCTCCATCACTATCCTTTTCAGGATCATTAGCTTAGAAAAAATAAATCAATCAAGGTGTGAAGTTGTTTCTTAAAGGCCTCCACAGAAGTTAGCTGCTTCATGGAAGCAGGCAACCAATTTTACAATCTGGGTACTGTATAGGAAAAGGATCAAGCACCAAAAGAACATTCCCATACTGCTTTAGGCTTCTCAAGGTGTGAAGGATCATCACTACTACTGCACAAAATCATTTCAGGATGTGTAGTCAGTGGAATTAGTAGGTTGGCCAAATACTTAGGCTCACCTAACATTAGTGTGATACAATAAAGCACTCAAAATATACACTAGAGAGCTCTGGAGGCAAGTGATGTCACTGCCTTTCAATCTTCGACCAATACAGTGTACTCTTGAGAAATTTATACCAATATACAGTATTATAATGGATGTACAATTTGTGTGGAAAAAAGTAAAATTAATCAATGAATATTATTTTCTAATGATATATTATGCCATAGTTCTGGTTCCGTGATGTTAATATTTGTGGACAACAGGTATGGACCGAGGCCTCTCATCCTGGTCAATTTATAGTAGAGTTGAAAATCAGAAAACCATAGTACAGTACTAGAAAAGCTATTATATTGCTTTTGTTGCCACCAACGGAATCTCGAATTTTTTTCTTTGCAAACAATAGTTTAGACAGGTCTAAGACAATGGCCCTAGAACTTCAGTTCAAATGTCAACATACACACCCAGGTCCTTTACACATTCGTTCTCTGTTAATGCTGTTTCTTTGTCCTGTTGGGAATGCCCACCCGCGGTGATATACCCTTATGGTGTACTAGAGTCTAGTACAACACTATAAAATTACACACCGGTTTCCCCCTTTGTGATCAAATAAAAAGATTGGTACTTGCGTCAGCACCAGAAGGTAGGAATGTGAACATTTCTTCACACCTTTTTCGGTAATATTTTCTGCAGGAGGAGGGTGAGGGTGGCTACTCCAACCTCCCCACACTACTACCTCACTGTCTTGCCTCTCACCTATTGCATTCCCTCATTAGGAAGTCTGGTCTCTGGCCTCCCAGCTCTAGAAAACCCTGTCTGTGGTACCGGTGTGGGTCTAAATGTCCTTTTTTTAAAGCGAGGGTTTAAACATTAATAGAGACCAAAATTTGATATATTTATCTAAGACCTAAGAATATTCCAAGGGGGTGATGGAGGGTTAGCTTAGGTTAGACTTGTGTGTGTGTGTGTATCACCAACTCTCTTTTTCCATTTTCTTGGCTGCCTTCCTAACTCGTGCCAGTGCCAATTTAGCCGGCGGGGTGGACATCGAGTACCGGATGAAGGGTCTTTTCAACATAAGACAACTCCAGGCAGGAACAAAGGTGTCTGCAGCTTCCTTTACTGAACTTCAGTACGCAGACGACCTCACCCTTGTCACTTACACTGAACGCGACTTACTGGAGACCCTGAACACCTACTCAGATGTGTATGCACACTTCGGCCTCGAGGTGAATGTACGTAAGACTCAGATTCTCTTTCAGCTTGCCCCTAGTTCAGACACACCTCCACCATCCATCCAGCTTAATGGTATAACCCTCTCTAATGTTACCCACTTTCAGTATCTCTGCTTCCACCTGTCCACCACCTCGGACATCGATGAAGAGGTTCAGCATCGGATTAGATGTGCATCTTAAGCCTTTGGTAGACTTCAAAACTGTGTCTTCAGCTGTATGGCAGCGAAACATGGGTCACATGCAGGAGGCACCTCAAGGCACTGGAAAACTTTCACCAACGAGTTCGCTGGGAAGAAAAGAGAACAATTGCCACTATTCTTGCTGACACCAACAGAAGTAACAGGCTATCATTATTCATGAACAACTATGCTGGACAGTCACCTAACCTGAAAAAGTGCCAAGTCGACCCCATCACCTGGAAGACGATTACTCCACACCTTAACGCTTGAAGGAGCACCACACAAAGTGTCAATACTTTCGAGTTCGCCTGACTTCATAATGAGGCAGACAAGCGCCAGCGTCGGAAAGACGCTGCCGCCGCCGCCCCTCCTGCACAAGATGTAGCCCCCCACATGTGCAACATCTGTGAACGATCCTGCCAGTCCCATAGAGGCCTCTTTAGTCACCTCAGAACTTACCAACGTATAGGTAGCATTCTTAATAACTCATACCATTGTATCATGGCTAGATGGTCGTCATACTCGATTCCGAGTGACAGCATAGTAGTAGTAGTGTGTGTTTGAAGACAGTAAAATGCTTTGGGCATGTATTTTGTTCATTTGTTACAAAGTAATCATTACCTCTTCTGTTGAGTGAAAATCGTAAATGAGTGAATCGTTAAAAATAATTGCGAGAAAAGGTTGTGGTTGTGAAATGTCACTTGTGGTTGTGTTTTATTTATGGAGGGTCGGACGTGAGAGGGGAGTGAAAATGACACACACACACACACACACACACATGTCTAACTTAACCAGTTGCTATTGGTTAGTAAGATGGGGAACTGAGTAAAGTAAAATGTGGTGATGAGTGAGTGAGTGAGGGGAGGTAGATGTGAGAAGAATGACTCCAAGACGATGAGTGAATGATTTAATTAAAGGGAGTATGAGAGCAGCCTATAGTCAAAGGTTCCATTTGTGTAGGTATAGGTCACGTAATGGGTGAGTTAGTTGGCTTTATAAGTTTTTTTTTGACCTATTAGTTGGCATGACGTGGTTGGGGGAGGTTGCTGGGGGGTATTTTAGCGAATGGGGTGTAACGACGAATTAAACTTTTATCTGTGAGTGATAGTGTACATCTGCTCACTTTCTCACAGTATGGAAACCCTATTTCCCCTTCCTTGTCTCTCTCCCTCCCCCTCTCTCCCCTTTCCTTTCCTTTTTCCCTTCCTTGCCCCTCCTCCTCCTTTTCCCCTTCCCCTCTCCCCCAATCCCTCACCTTTTCCCCCTCTCCTCTCCCTTCTCTCTCCCTCACCTCCTCCCTGTCCCCCATCCCTCCCCCCTCGCACCTGTCCCCTTACTTCTCATGACCATCAGTTAAGGCCAATTGAGATCTTCCTACTCTGCTCCTCACCCTTTATATTAACCCTTTCCTCCCACCCATGTGTCATGTATCAGCCACCCATGTATCATGTATCACCACCCATGCATTACCATTGTTATGTCATGACTTATCAACTTGAATTACGTTAAAGATTAATATGCTAATGAGGGCACATATGGCACAAAAAACAATTGGCAACTCAGCACATTTTAGCCCGAGGTTCAAACACAGCCCCCTCTTTATCCCAGCAGTTCAGGAGAGGAGCTTTGGAATCATTTGCATTACAAAAGATTCAAATACAATTTAATAAAAAAAAAAATCAGTGTGTAGGTTCCATAAGATAAATTAAATCAAGAGAATAAAGAATACACATAATCCTTAATAAACCACTAATACATGCAGTAAATAAACCATGAACTACTTTGTAATATCACCATTGATTGCTCTTTACACAAAATAAATAATAATAGAACAGCACTGAATAGATAATACTCAACTAAACCCTATTTGAAAAGGTATCCACCACTAACAAACTGAGGCGTCCTCCCAAGGCCAGCCATCGCGCCATATTCCAGGGGACTACAACCCTAATACTAATATTAATCAACTCCCACATTAAGCTATATAAGTACCTATATATACACACAGAAAATATTTTATTGTATCAATTATCAGCCCTGATTACACACAATTACAAAAAATATTTTATTTACACTAAAGGGTAACATGCCTAAATATATTTCACTATGCGCAACGCACCACTGTACATTACGCCATGCATAACACCATCCATGTATCATATATCACCACCCATGTATCTTGTATCAACCATCCATGTATCATGTATCAACCACACCACCCATGTATTATGTATCTACCACCCATGTATCACGTATCACCGCCCATGTATGTAGTGATGGTCATGGACTGGTGACGCAGGTGAGGTTGGTGTAAGGCGGGGTGAGGGTGGTGGCGGTGTAGGGCGGGGTGAGGGTGGTGGTGGAGGGCGGGGTGAGGGTGGTGGTGGAGGGCAGGATGGGGTGGTGATGGAGGGAGGGTGAGGTGGTGGTGGTGGAGGGCAGGGTGGTGATGTGGTGATGGAGGCGGGGTGAGGTGAGGTGGTGAGGTGTGTGGAGGGCAGGGGTGAGGTGGTGATGGAGGGGGGGTGGGGGTGGTGGTGGTGGAGGGCAGGGGTGGGGTGGTGGTGGTGGAGGGCGGGGTGAGGGTGGTGATGGAGGGCAGGGGTGGGGTGGTGGCGGTGTAGGGCGGGATGAGGTGGTGATGCAGGGCAGTGTGGTGGTGGAAGGCAGGGGTGGGGTGGTTGTGGCGGGGCAGGGCAGTGTGGTGGTGAGGGTGGGGTGGTGCATGGGGCAGTGTGGTGGTGGAAGGCGGGGTGAGGGGTGGTTGTGGAGGGCGGGATGGGGGTGGTGATGCAGGGCAGTGTGGTGGTGGAAGGCGGGGTGAGGGTGGTTGTGGAGGCGGGATGGGGTGGTGATGCAGGGCAGTGTGGTGGTGGAAGGCAGGGTGAGGGGTGGTTGTGGAGGGCGGGATGAGGGTGGTGGTGCAGGGCAGTGTGGTTGTGGAGGGCGGGGTGAGGGTGGTGGTGCAGGGCAGTGTGGTGGTGGAGGGCCGGGTATGGGTGGTGGTGGAGGGCCAGATAGCTTGCAGCGGTGAACCTGGACTGGCTGGCCACACTCCTTTCTTTTCCCCGACACATTTTTGCTTATATTTTCGTATTATAATTACAAGACTTTTTATTGGTCACAATCTTTCTATAAGAATATATTAAAAATAAATAAAACGACATAACGTTGCATTTTATCCGCATTACTAAATATAAATCTAGTATTCAGCACTTGAAAGCTTCATGACCCGTATTGTGAAAAATGGCAACTCGTGAAATACTTGACAGTTCTTTGCAACATGGAATCCAATTTATCTTGTTGAGCTTCTTCTCACGTATGTTTATTACATGGAGATGGAGGTGTGCATGTTTCACTGTGTGAGTGAGGAACCAGGCGTGTGGAAGGTGGGTGTGAGTTTCAAGATAGGAAAGTGGTTGTTGCGTTGTGATGGGTCGCGCAGGACGCTGGTAGACGGGTCAGCTGTTCCCTCCCGGCCGGGCCCAGTTAGTGGTCTCTCCGCTGTGGCAGCTGCTGGAGGTGTATGAAACGCGGGGGTCGCTGTGATAATGATAGTGATAACGAAGGTGATGGTGAGGGTGGTGATGGCGAGGGGGGAGTAGTAAATATGCAGTCGATGTGCGTACTGTGATAGTAAAGGGAAATATGTGTACTGTCTTTCGGTAGCCGTTTAAGTTTTCCGCAAGAAACTAAGCGAATCCCCTTTTCCGAGAGCCCTTGTATGTGGCTTTCCCATTACGTATTTGTATAAAATGTACAGCTGGAGGTATTCTCAATAGCCTAAGGTATCTTTAAAGGATAAGAAAAACGAATTGAGTGGATATCCTCTGTGAACGAAGGTCAATTAGCCACTAATAAGTGAAACCTAAAGTAAAAACCAGATTATGCCTATACGTGTCGTGTCGCCCAAGTTACCTCAGCAAGTCGTGATCACATCTTAGTAGCTAAGATTTGTATCCACGGATAGTAACCTGCGGGTAGACCAACGTCAACAACCATTTAAGAAAAAACCCTTAATATTGCAAGTAACGAAGAAGAGAGAGGAGATAAACAACTAAGCAAGATAAGGACACTGGAGGGAGAACGAGAGTGTAGCAAGGAACCAACTCACCAGGTCAGTTTCCAGCCTTTACGTCTTACTCCTTTGAGAACCACCATATTTCTCATGAATTTAGTGAGGAAACTTGCCATTAGGCATTATTGTGACCCTTGAAATCACTTTTATATTGGTTAATTATCTAAATCAAGAAAATGGAATTGGTTGAGACTTGCTGCGTGAGAAGTGTCGTCCCGTTAGCCACCTATCATTTGCTATTTCCAAGGCAACTGAAACACGTTGTGGTGGTGTGACTGTTAATACATATTTCAAGGATAATATAATAATCTCCGCCTCTTCAAGACTCCTTTCACATAGATGGTAAGTATAGTGTAAGGTGTTAGTATCATGCTTCAAGATTAACTCATTCTTCTTGAGACTTCATTTATAAGAGTTGAAGTTGTGTAAAGGTGGGGGAGAATGACGGGAAAGGAGGGAGTCGGTGTTTCCTGCTGATCCTAGTTACATTAAATTGTTATTATTCCTTAACTGACGAGTAGTAATGCATCAGTTAATCGTGTATCGTTTAATATTTCAAGGATATATTTAACTATGTAGGTCTTCCCTGATATTAAAACGATATACAAAAAATAATAATACAAAATAATACAAATAATGCATACGGAATTTCGTCACAACTTATTATTCATATTTTTAGATAATATTGGTAATGATCTCTAAGGGTGAATAAAGATACAAAGGAGGAAATAGATGATAATGACTGATGAATGTTATAAAAGAAAATAGAAACAAAGATGATTATGCAATAAATAAAACTTGACAAGACTATCAGGAGGCGGTGACACAGTGAGATGTTCAGTAAATAGCGATGCTCATAGTTAAATAATATCCACCAAAAGTTATACATAGATGGATTTCTATAGCTGGGATTTTATCCGTCTGTATATTTTGTAGGTTAGGTTACCGGGATTTCTATTTTTATTTGTGTTGAGTATTTTACGTTGCTGGGATTTGTTGAATATTGTACGTTGCCAGGAATTTATATAGTATTTATTTTGTTGAGTATTTTACTTAGCTGTTTTTTTTGTATCTTAGGTTGCCGGGATTTTATTTGTTTATTTTTGTTTTGTATCTTAGTTTCGTATTCTTAAAGGTCTCTGTTATTCCTTGTAACTGAAGAAGTAAGAATGTTCCCAAGTGGCTGATTTTTGCTGTGATTTCTATGGTGAAGTCGACCAGTTTGTTGCATTTATTACTTGTACAGTACTACTTGAGCTACTTCAAATCACCTGAACATTAACCCATCCATGCTAACCTAACCCACCCTAAACTAACCTATTCTAAACCAGCTTAATCCGCCCTAACCTAACCTAAACAAATTTAGCGTATCTAGCCTAATCTAACGTAACTTAAACTAAACTAACCTAATCTAATCTAAACCATCTTAATCCGTCTTACCTAACCTAAGCAAATCTATCGTAATCTAAGCTAATCTAACAACTTAACCTAACCTAAACGTAACTGGTCTAATCCACCCTAACCTGAGAAAATCTAATGTGATCTAACCTTATCTAGCTTAACCTAAACCAGCCTAACCTAAGCAAATCCTACGTAATCTAATCTAACCTAATGTAATTTAAACTGAACTAATCTTATCTTACTCGCCAGGTACGGTTAAGGGTTTTTAATCATCAGGTGGGTTGGGGGCTAATCCTTACGTGATCCAAATGTACATCGTCCGGGGTGGCAGGAGGTGGAGAGAGAGCGGTCCTACTAATTACCCAAATGTACCCAAATACTAGTCGAGAAATGATTGGCAGTCCGATTTATTCATGTAGGACCATTATTTGACTTCATTGCGGCTACATTTGGGTAATTAGTCGGACCCGGTGGAGTGAGGACAAGGCAAAGATTAACATGGTCTTGAGGTTACTAGAAAAGTTACCTTGTATATTTTCCGGATGTCGAGACCTTGCTTACCTCTTCGGTGTCCTCGTTCAATCTTTGGCCTCGTGTAGTGTTTTATGCCTGTGATTTGTTCTTCATGGTCTCTTGTGTATCTCCGATGGTTACTGTGTGTTTGATTTTGTTTTTGAAGGGTGTGTTGTGTTTTCGCGTGTGATTGTGTGTGTGTGTGTTCTTTTATGGTCAATAAAACAACTGACCATACCGCACAATAATAAACACCGTATACAGTCACTTAACACGCGGCCATACCATACAAGACTTACACAATACCACGCAGCACATAACACCACCTTAACATTATCGTAGATGTCAATCAAATCGGAGTACCGTCCTCATAACGTCCAACAACACAGACACACACCACACCATGATACCACACACTGTACACCACCACACCACACTGTACACCACACCACCACACTGTACACCACACCACACTGTACACCACACCAAAGTACGACACCACAGTACACCACAGTACACCACACACTACAGTTGACATCCGCCCTCTAGTCCTGCTTCCTGTAAGTTCAACAAGGTCTTCGTGAGAGAAAAATGTAGCCTCAGCTTATATTTTACTGGAGGCTTGACTTATTTTTCTTGGCTTAGTGAGTAGAAGATGGGACACCGCCCTTCAGGATACTGGTAGGGAGGGAGGGGAAGAGGAGAAGGGGGGTTAGGAAGTGAATAGGGATTAGGGCTATTGATGGGAGGTGGGGAGCAGTGTTGTATTTGGGAGTAGAAAGGTTGAGGATTGTGGCTGTGAACTTCGACACGTCTACCCTAGCCTAATTTATCCAAACCTTGACCCACCATGTTAAGTTGCCCAGCCATGAAGGTAGCTCAGCTTATCTAACCTAACCTATTTTACTAACCTTCGGCTCGGTGAAATATATTGGACGGTGTCTAGGTCGAGGACTGGCAATTGGTGACATTATTGATTGTGGATGAATATATTTGTATCTAATCTTGCTTTGAAATAGGGAACGCGAATTAAACTAAATGCAGCATGACTTAACCCTATCCTGATGAAACCAAGCCTAGCCAATCCCCGTAACTGTTAATGCTTCTTAACTAATGGGTCTTAACTCTAATTTCATTTATTTAATTTTAACGTAACCGGATATAGTTACATTAAATCATCCCCTCGTGTTTCTGATTTGAATCATAGTTATCTCAATTTATTTAAAAGAAAAGGATTGATTGGTATTAAATGAAGTTTACTGGCGCCTGAAAAAAATAATTACTCTGCCTTTCTCAGGTTGCCAAGATAATATCTCATGTAATTTCAGACTTAACCTTGGTTGTCGTCCCCTTAACCTGCTGCTGTAGATGACCACAACATACACAATAATACTGAAAATCTAGCCACAGGTTAAAGGATTCGATAAAAAGATTCTAACACTGCAAATAATGATAAAAATCCATCCTATAAAAAGATTCTAATTCTAACACTACTTGAAATCACCGTGTTTTAGCTAAATGGTGTTGGAACTCGAGAAACAGATCAACATAAGCAGTAGAGAGAGTCTTGCACTATAAGCAACGAACATAACATAAACAATGGTGTTGAAACTCGAGGACATAAATAAAAAGAGATTCGGTAAAGAGATTCTAACACGGCAATAAACAGACCACAACAATCACAGCCTCACGAGCACCAAGGGTAAGAGTTAACACCGAGGGTTAACATTAAGAGATTTTAATGCTACAAAGAGTGAGCACACGATAGATAGAAGCCTTAAGAAGAACCATAGAGACGAAAACTTACACACACAATAAGTTAATCTTTTACAATTAACAAAGGAACAAGATAGATTCAACCAGTCTTAATCTTCGCTAGGCTTGTTGCTAGGCTCGCTTTGTGATCGGAAGGCTAACCTTGGCTGTGTTACGTTGCTTTGATATTCTCAACACATAAGTTAGTCTTGGTTAATTAGCTTAGGTTCACGAGAGGAAAGCTGCGCTAAACGAGGCTAGCTGGTTAATTTAAGCCGTGGTGGCTCAGTTCATGTTTGTTTAATGATGAATAAACTGACACTGAGAAATGGAAGCTTATGAGATAAGCGAAGCAGGTCGTATATTGTATGTGTGTGTGTGTGTGTGTGTGTGTGTGTGTGTGTGTGTATAAGTGTGTATGTGTGTGTATGTATGTGTGTGTGTGTGTGTGTATAAGTGTGTATGTGTGTGTATGTATGTGTATGTGTGTGTATAAGTGTGCGTGGGTTGGTGTTTCTTCAGCAAGCACGTTCGAGCACCCATACCACACACACACCATCACCTCCAACGCTCACCACACAAGCCACAACTCGCCACCGTGACTCGTATGTAAGTATTTAAGTCAGTAGGAATAATGGTGTTGCGTTTCCTTGTACTACATTTAGGCTTCGTGGTGGTGCAGCGTCTGTCCTTGTATGTCAAGATTAGAAGCATCCATTGAATTCTGAGCCCTCATTATTATTATTATTATTATTATTATTATTATTATTATTGTTGTTATTATTGTTGTTGTTATTATTATTTATTATTATTGTTGCTGTTGTTTTTATTTATTATTATTATTTTATTATTATTATTATTATTTATGATTATTATTATTATTATTATTATTATTATTATTATTATTATTAAGTGTTGGTTAGGTTAGGCAAAGGCTGATTTAGTTTTTTTCTGGATTAACCTGGCCAGGTGAACATGGCCAGGTGAGCATGACAACACAACAGGCCGGGTATTTAATAATAAAGAGTAAGTTGCGTGGCTGACTAGGCTCGCTGCACCTCGCCGACCCTTCCTCCTCTCTCTCTCTCTCTCTCTCTCTCTCTCTCTCTCTCTCTCTAGTAATGACAACGCGACTTGGTTAATTGTTGGCGGGGAAGTCGTGAGGCATTCCGTGGACCACACCCTCATGTACTTATTGAGGAGAGAGAGCAGCAATAAGGAAGGGAGGGAGGGAACAGTAAGGAAGGAGGTAAGGAGAGAACAAGGAGAGGGAAGGAAAAGCAAGTTGGGAGGGAGAGAGAGGTCAACACTGGTGATAGCGTCCATGAATGTGTCGATCATAATGCTGGCTCCCCTCCTCACCCCACCAC